CCCCAAAACCCCAAAACCCCAAAACCCCAAAACCCCTGAATTTCTTCTAGAAATTGAAATCTAAATGGTGTTCACCTCTATGAATCACTCTTGGATGCCAAACTTCTTCCTTCAGATCTCATGGGCTTGCATCACTACTGGAGTATTGACCCTAGCAATGATCTTAGCTGTCAGACAGGCCCTGTTGGGTGTGATAGACCACACATGAAGAGTCTTGACGGATATAATGCCTTTGATTCTTTCGATAGAGGTCTTTACTTCTCTATAAGACATGTTCTTGGGTACTCCCTCCATCAAAATATTGATTCAGTCTTTGAGGATAAAATATGTGGTGAATAAGCCCAAAATAGAGAATACTATAGTACAGATCGGCTCAATAAGAGTCGCCTCCGGAAGAGAATGGATGCTGATAGCTACAGTCAGATTTTTGAGAGATTGTATGATGTCACTGAAGACATGCACTGCAGCTGCACGTACATTTAAACTATCTGAAACATTATATTCAAGTTTAGGCATTTTGTCTTTGTTAAAGATCGATTTCAATGCTCCGAGGTAGTCTTTAGAATTACCTCCACTTTGGTTCTTGTGAGTATTAATATCCTCAAATTCCGAATCTTTTTGTGACTCTGTATCAACATAGAATGATTTACTTCCTATACTCTCTCTCATTTCGGGCTGCTGGTCTAGGCTATCATGCATTTTTAAAACCAAACTCTCGTTTTCAACTTTGGGGGCTCCATTGAATTCAAGTCCTTCAAGGCCAAGGTCTTGCATCTCGTAGGAGAGTTGCTCCTGACTTGGCTTGTTATCTGCTTCTGTTTCCTGCATTGTCAAAATTTTCAGCATAATGAAATTAAAGAATAAACCAAGAAGGGCAGTGAACATCATACTCGCAGAGTCTAGTTTGATTGGGTTCATTATTCGACCGACCGCATCGATAATTAAAAGGACTGATAATCACCAGATGAGTACTGTTCCTAGAGCCCCCAGCACCTCTAACCTGTCATTTCCAAAGGTACGTCTTCTGGTATTCCCTCCTATGAGGATTGCTCTGATTGTGAATAAAGATATCGAGAATCCGATAAGTCTGATGATAAGACAGACATATCTGTCATTGTACTGATCTCTTCTCCAAAGTTCAATGAGTAAGTAGATTGATCACACAATGATAACGAATATTAGCTTTTTGATCCAGGGATGGCTGCCATTAAACTTGCCTTTCATGCTTTCTAGTTTGTCGTTAAACCTAATTCCATCTCTCATTTTCAAATTTTTTAATTTCTTTTGGGGTTTTGGGGTTTTGGGGTTTTGGGGTTTTGGGG